ATGAATGCTTATACCAGAAGCAGAAAGGCAATATTTGTGATGCAGTTTTTCTTGAATCCAAATGTCATATTATTAATCTTTTGAATTTCATCCCCAAAATGGTATAAAGTTAGAAATAATCCTGGACTAACTCTTTGAAAAATCAAACTATATTCCTACTTTTCTACATATTATCTGTGATTAATTCAATTTAAACTTACTGGATTTTTATATTCTCATTAGTTAAATAGCTCCATCTATTTTATATAAAAGGCATATGAATATATAATGTATAATCCCAAATGTAAATTGAAAATTATGAGATACTTTAAGAAATAAGGGATTAATAACCTCCCCAGAATGCCCCAAAGACAGCTCAGCAGGTACTGTCCTCCCATTCTTATCTGTTCTGTCCTTTTACTAAATTTGACATCTTTCTGCAAAATTATACTCTATATAGATTGTGGTGGACATACATTAGTTGCTTGAGAATAACATACACAACCTAGTTCTGCCCTACTCCAGCTTTGAAAATATTTGTGTAAAATAGAAAAGTTCAGAGAATGTACAGTGTTTCTTGTCAATCCAAGGAAGCCAACAGCTCTTAGAGGAGAAAGAAGTAAAATTGTCAACTGAACATAGTAAATAACACATATTAATGGTGTACAAGTATCTTCAAAAGTGACTGCAAGATGTATAATAGGAAGCAAAAATATCATTTTTATATAATGGCAGACACTGATTTGTATTCCAAGTATTTGGACGTGTATCTTGTATAAATTAAAGTAAGGTTTTGAGCTTTTATGACTCACAAAATTTCAGAATTATTTTTCTGTGCCATCCCTTGTCAATACTATAAGAGAGAAGGTGAGCTGGTCCCAGCACACACAAGGAAGCACCTCTGACGCTATTCCATGCTCCTAGGGCAGAGAAGGTAAGCTGCTTGGGAGCCAGAAGCACACATCCCCCCGTGGAAATGAGAAGACACATAAATAAGCCTCAAAACAGACTTCCAGATCACCTACAACAACCCCAAAGGGAAATGAGATGGAACAATCTGATACTCAACCTCCTGGACTCTCTGAACTGGCAACAAAAGAGGATCTGGGAAAAATGAAATCAGAAATAATTACTAGGATAACAG